GTGTGTGTGTGTTAGTGTGTGTGTGCATGCATTTTGGTGTGCCAGTTAAATGTGAAGCATTTGCACTAAAAACTTGCACAGTGAAAATTTGAAATTTGCCATTTGTTTTGTTGGTTTGGTTTGGTTTGGTTTTGTTTTCTATTTGAGTGCGAGTGGGCGGGGAGCTGCAAAACATTTCTCTGATTTGCATTTAAAAGGTGTGGCAACTGTCAGGCAGAGGCAGGGGTTAGGCCAATGGGGTCCAAATGATTGGCCTCTGTCTGTCGCATCTGCCTCTTCAATGTATCTGTTTGTTAGAGAGAGAGGGAGAGAGAGAGAGAGAGAGAGTGCTGCAGAGGTATTCAAGTTTTTATGACCACACACACACACACACACAGCGGGGCATTAAAACTTTGCTATTAGCCAAGTAACGTTAGGCCATTCGAGCTCTTAACTGCAATCTATGTTTGTGCAGTGGCCATACGATATTCCTGCATATAAAAGTCAAATGTTGCAACTGAAAGCCGAGAGTCGTGAAGCGTGATCAAAAGGTATTAAAATTGAAGACGAATCTGGTTTGCTTTTAGCTTGACTGTGTTAGCCAAGGCAAGCAAAGCACTGATATGAAGCAGAAATTATAATTTTGGGCAAGTTAAAGGCCTTTGGGTAACAAGGAAACATAAGTCATATGGGCTAAGCGACTTCTCTTTAGCTAATCATTCACAGAAGTTTATCCAAGTGACTCTGCCTCTCTTAGAGAGGAAGTTACTTTGAGTAAAGATTATCAGAATTCCTTGGGATTGCTCTTCTCTTCAACTAGAGCTTCTTAGAAAATGGTTCAAGTCTCTCCCTCTCTCTGTCTCTCTTCTTGATATGACTTATAAAAGTTCAAATGAGTAAAGTAAAATCATTTGAGTACAATTTCTATATTTTTTAAATATTTAATATTAAAATTTAATTAAAATATATTTTATTTTGAATTTTTTTTTAATAATTGTAAAATATTATTAAAAATTTTTTTCTAAATGTAAATTATTTTAAAAATATATTAACTGTCTGACTTGCTTCTATGGGATTATAGATACATTCTCAAGGGAGGACTTGCTCCAGCTGCTCTAGTCTCTCGATTTATATATGTACATGTAGCTATAGCTTATCAAAACCTCATTTGATTTAATTTCTGTCAAGCGGGATTTTTTTTTTTCACTCTCACTCACTCTCTCTCTCTCTCTCTCTAATTTAAAGTCGAAAATTCATATTTCACATAATTTAAATATATTTAACTAACTGTCCATCAGTCCTTACCTCTTTGCCATTTGTCAATTTGACTTATATATAAATCTCATAAGAAATTCCAATCAGAATATTTACAGAATTCGAAATAAATTTCGTCTAGAGCATTCGGCATTCGTTTGACAACTGCGTTGCAGTTGCAGCTGCGCTCGCCCACAAACTGTGCAACAAAAGGCGAACAATGCGAATGCAACATTTAAAACCTACAATAAAATGAAATGCAAATAAAATGTGCCGCTGACACGGCTGAGGCCAGGCGAAACTAGAAAAATAAAGCACAGCAAACCAATATATATATATATATATACAGATATTTAATAGAAAGAGAGAGAGAGAGGGAGAGAGATAGAGGGAGATAGGTGAACGTAAAAAATTGCGCTGGCAACATGAAATTGGCTGGTTGCTCGGGTCATAAATTTCTATATAGACAATCTCGATGTTGTTTGCGCTATTCGACTATCCGGCATTTGGGTATTCGGTGTACAATTTGGCCTATTGTTGGGCCGTAGCACTCTGATTGTCGCCGTCGTGCTACGCAACATGCAACAACTATTAATCATATTGAATGGCTTCTGTTTCTGTTTCTGTTTCTGGCGATGGCGATGGCGATGCCTGTGCCTGGGCCTGGGCCTGACTGTGTCATCCTGGCTAATCAATCTTTACCGTGTGCCGTCTCTAATGGCACTGACAACGACAAAGGCCATCTCTCTCCTGCCCCCACGCCCTCACTCTGCCGCTCTGGCTATCTCCCGTTCCATCGCCCAACCCCCCATAGAAGAAAAATGGCCGATAAAGTCATTAACGCCTGGCTGGCCACCTGCCCTGGGATATGCTACGGCTTGCTGTTGTTGTTGTTGCTGTTGTCGTTGTTGCTGCTGATCCGGACACGGATACGGCTACACACACACACACAAGGAGCTGGCCGTCTGAGCCGGCGGGGGCCAGTTGCTACTATTTTGTTTATGGGCGAACGGCGCAAATCTCTTTGCCAAGCCGCTGCTCAATGAGGCGGCAGGCAAAAGCCAAAAGGGGATTAGTTGTAATCAATAACTTGGCCCAAGCAAGCGGCGGGGCTGCCCAGCCGCCATCTCCAGTTCTGTTGTTTGCCTGTCGAAAGTTTTGCCAATGCCTCTACGCCCCACCAGCCCCCTCAAACTGAGCCCTTTGTGCGCCAAGTTATTATTATAATTTTTTTTTTGTTCTCTTTCTTTCTAGCTTTTTCTTTTTTTTTTTCTTCTTTTTTTGCAAATGCGGATTAATTGAAAAGTTTGCCATTAGCAATTCGCGCTTGGTTAAGTTGCTGCGCCTTTGTTTCAATAGAGAGAGAGAGAGAGAGAGAGAGAGAGAGAGAGAGGGAGCGCTAGCGCCTCTTGCCACCTAGGCAATATCTTGGCTAGGTGTTTCAACTATTTGATCGTTATGGATTTTGACAGCTTCATTCGCAGTTATGATGAAAATTACTTAAAAGCATTTTGCGCAGCGCTGATTTGATTGATGGGCGTTTATGTGGCATGAATGGTGGCAACGCTGCCAGCTGGAATGGGGCCGGGCCGAGGCGGGGCGGGCATTTGTGCTTGTGCCTGTGGCAGTGCTGCAAGTTCTCTCCGGCGTCGTCATTATATTCGCATTATCGAGTGACGTGGGCGCGGGCGCAATGAGCCATCGCAAATGCCAGTTGACGTGCCGGCGGTTTGAAGAGCTGACAAAAAGTTGTGCCAATTTGTGTCAATTATCAGGAGGCTGCCCCACTACGCCCCCTCCCAGCCGAAATCTGGTGCAGCCCACTCATCAGCTTTTCACCTGGCCGTTGAGTGAAGTTTCCAAATCCGCTGAGAGTTTTTGCCGAATATGGGGCAGCATTAAATGACAAAACAATGAATATTCCCAGCAAAAAAGAGAGAGCGAGAGAGAGAGAGAGAGAGAGGGAGAGCAAATTGCGGCTTTGTGCGCGTAAATTTCGTTGAGCACGGCGAGTTTTCCATTCTCCATTTCATAATGTAAATTTGTTGTTGTTTTCTGTTCTTGTTGGGCTCGCCGAAAAAAAGTGCCAGCAGTGATAGATGCCATTTTTTCAGGTGGCTAACAGCCAATTTAAAAGTACAAAGCAATTATAAAAGTTGATTAACGTCAAAATGTTCCTATCAAATATTTAATTGAAGTTTCAAAAGCGCATGAAAACTTTTAGCAGCATTTGTTGTGTGTTCAACATGAGATTGTGTTGAGGGCTTAAGCTTAAAGTGCATAAGCCAACAGGCTATGGCATACAGTCAAAAGCCTATTAAAGCTTGTAAAGCACATGCGATAGTTAAGATTAAAATGGAAGTATTAAATGTTAGCTCAAAGAAAAGCTTTGTTTGTTAACTTGCATGAGCTTTGCGATGTAAAAGCACAGCTTAATTTGAAAGCACATTGGAAAGGTAATTGAAAATCTTTAAATATAAATGTTTTTGATATATGAACTTTATCTATAAGAATATTTGAAAGCTTCTCTTTGAGTAAACCTAAACCAAATTAGAATCAGAAGTTGATACATATATTACCGGCAATGGAATCTCTACTGAAATCTCTCTTTAGGTACACAAGTTTAATTACTTTGCGTACAAGCACAGTCGACTCGAAAGCTTTAAAGCTATCTCTGTTGCCATGGCATTTATTCCTTGTATTTAGACGACAATCTTAAGCAAATCTTAATGCGGGTTTTGCACAATTCCTGCAAGCCATTCGACAGAGTTCGTTCATTTAGGCTTATCCTTATTAAAGATTTATGCTTAAGCATGCACGTCGAGCTCTGCTGGATAAGGCGTAAGCAAACATTATGCATATCGTTAATGAAATCCTCAACGGCCTCAGTCTCAGCTGAGGCTGTCACATACAACGCCCGTTGCAGTCTGAAGCATCTAGTCGCTCATTAAAATCGAAGAGCGTCGAAACAAATCGATTTTCGTTTAGTATCGCAATCAAGAACACAACAAATTTGTGTTGTTGTTGTTATTGTTGTAGTTGTTGTTGTACTCGTGCTAAAAATTTGTTTTGTGCGCTATAACAAGACCGGGCCGTGCCCCAGCACACCTGCCTATAGCTGCCAGGCTGCCTCACTGAATGGAGAACTTAAAGAGCACTCGAACAGCACTCAGCCACAAACACATGCACACACACACACACACACACACACAGAGAGAGTGTGTGTGGGGTGTGTGTGAGCTGCTGTTTAAGTGGAGTTTGCTTTGGCTGCAGAGAATTTTTTGGATAAATTGTTTTGAGTGAAGGGTTAGAGTAGGCGCTGCACCGTCTGTGCCTTGCAGTACTTGTCAAGATTGAATTTGCCACGAATATATACATATATATATGAATGTATACATATATATATGATTTTTTTTTTCAGCTTTCTTTTTTGGCATTTTTATTGATCAAACAAACGCTGGCAAGTGGCAGCTAGTGAAGGTGTCATTGCTCAGCACTTGCATATATATACAATGTATATACATATACATATATATATATATACATAGGTATGTATATATCTGAGGTCTTGGGAGGCAACACGCGCAGTGCGCATAAATTGCATGATTCGTTTTTCGGCAACTGTCATTCGGATTTTTCATTTGCATTATTATTATTTGGCAAGTTGGCAGACGTTGCCTTATTGCTGCTGGTACAAAAGAACTAGTTCGCTTGTATTTATTCAGGGTTTCTTTTTTTCTCATTTCACTTTAATGGGTTTTACTTACCGGACCAAACTGTTCAAAGTAGCTTTTGACATCCTCTAGCGTGGTGGGCGCCGAGAGGCCGCCCACAAAGATTTTCTTCGTTCTCGTCACCATCTGCAACAAAATAAAGAGAGAGAGAGAGAGTGAGAGAGTGAGCGAGAGAGATGGGAATTGTGATAAAGTATCAGCATAAATGAACGAACGAATGAGCGTGTAAAGCGCAAGTGGCAAATGCTGCTTAATTTAGCTGTAGCCTGGCATTTAAAAATGCATTTATGGTAGCTGGCAAAGGCAAAGGCGAGGCGGGAAGGAAATCGGATCAGGAGCAAGCCCCACGGGGGGAGGGGTGGGTGCGGTGCTCCATGTTACCCAAAGTTATGGCCCGCCAGACTGCGCGGAGCCGTAAGAGTCGCTGCTTCTGTAACTTACGGCAACAACTTTCGCTATGCGTCGACCATTTTGTGCACTTTATGTAGTAGCCGCACATGTGTGTGTGTGTGTGTGTCTGTGTGTGTGTATCTCTATGTGTGTGTGCAGCTGGCATATTTAAGCTGACAGTTTCAAGTGCCAACTTTACGCAGTTAGCGCAACAGCAGCACCAAAAATGATGGCGCGCCGAGTGCACGGCTCTCTCTCTATACATGTGTGTGTGTGTGAGTGTCTGCATGTGTGTGTGTGTGTGTACTGCAACGCCAGCCTTTTTAGCCCGCAGGCAAGCGTAAACTGTTAACGTTAAGTGACGGCAGTTAAGCGACAGTGGAGCAAACGATTTGCCAGCCAGTTCCGAGAACTGGTTCATTTGCGGAATAGCTAGCATTTCTTAGTGCTGCGTTCAGAATTCTTTGTAACTGCCAGGAAATGTTTGCTTATTTATTGCAAGCATTTAAAACTTTAATAAAACATGTTTTAATATTTTGTGTTAAGTTTCATTAAAAAACTATAAAAATTAATTTAAACATTTTAGCTAACTGTTGAAATATTCATCAAACTCTACAATGTTTAGTTCAGTTTCAGGAACTGATTATTTTTTATAACAAATTTATTTTTATTTTATTTTTTTTTTATAAAAATTGTAATTACGACTTAGTTTTTTAATTAATTTAACTTCTGCTCAAACTTTTTTAATAGTTTAGCTGTGAGCTCGTTCCAGGAACTGATTCATTTTGTGAAGCAGCAAGAAATATGGGTAACTTTTTATTATTCACTTTTGTTTAGTGATATTTAAATTGAATACTGGTTCGTGAACTAGTTCCATTGCTATATAATACTAAAAAGCCATTTAAATTCAAACTCTAGCTCAAGAACTAGTGCTATTTTTGCTATCTATTTAAACCTTTGCTCTAGCTCAAGATCTAGTTCTATTCCTGTAATTTACTTAAAGTCTAGAGCCGGTTCTTTTCCAATATTTTATTTAAATTCAATCCCTAGTTCAAGAACTAGTTCTATTCCTGTGCTAAACTGCGCACTTCCAATTTGCTTGGCTCAATTAGAAATCAAGTTCAATTGATAATGAATCGAATGATTCACTTGATGAACTCTATAGTTAAGACGGGGTTCGTTAAACATTTCTTCCTCCGCCACTTTCGGCAGTTGGTTGCGAAATTTGTGCGGTTTTTAAACACATTTTATACCATTATTTTGCTTTTTTTTTTATCTTTTTGGGGGCTTTCTTTTTGGGCCCATGGTTTCATGGGTTTTTTGTTGCAGCTGTAGGGCCGGATGAAGCTGATGACGTTGATTGCACTGAAGCTTGCTAGCTGCAATTTATGAGCACACAGACAACAGGCTGCAGGGCTGCACACAGTGCGAGGGAGTGTGAGAGGGAGAGGGAGAGGGAGAGGGAGAGGGCGAGGCGGTCGAGTGGTTTTGGATGGAGGCGTGGCAACAGACGGCTGGAAGATGTGGGATACGTCCGTTAAGGAAGCTAACGATATGTAACAGCGGTGCTGATGTTTCTGCTGTGCCAGCAGTAAAATTCATACAATGTCGTAAAATTAAAACACTTGTGTTGTCGCACCAGCAAGAGCAAGAGAGAGAGAGAGAGAGAGAGAGAGAGAGAGAGAGTGAGAGAGAGTGAGAGAGAGAGAGTGAGATAGAGGTACAACTACAAAGTTAGTCATGCAGCTTTTGGCAAGGCAAATCGCTTTTGGCCCGTGTTCCTGCCGGGCTGCCAGCTTGGCCGTCTGCCCTAGAGTAGTCCTACACACACTCTCTCTGTGTGTGTGTGTGTGTGTATTTGTCTGAGCTGCACTTTACACAGGTTGGGCAAATACATGCCAGAGGTCTGGGTCTGGGTCTGGCTCGCTGCGGGCGAGCTGCTAACAATTTGCAGCAAAAGAGAAAAACCAAGAACAAACAAAAGCCGTCAAGTTGAGTGCGCTGCAAGAAAGTAACAGCATGACGTCCAGGCACAGCTCGCGACTCCCAACTCCAGCTCCAACTCCAACTCCAACCCTATCCACTGTCTCGCTCAGCAGAGATGACGCACAAAATTGCAGCGATACGAGAAACAGCGGCCGCCAGCATTTTGCTGCCTTGCTCAACTCCGGCGCTAATCACTGCCAATGAGGCAGCTACTTAAGCTAATAAACTGCCCACTGGCTCGACTTTGCAATGTCATCATCAAAGACACATCTCTACATATATATAAATGTATATGTATATATTTGTGTATAGCTGTAATTTTGTGTATTTGCTGGAAACACGCCCAGTGCTGATAGCGCGGCATGAATCAAAAACAAAACACACCCAGCGCCGACAAATGAGGAATACAAAGGCGAGCTGGCGGAACTCGATTCGAAATGCTCCCCAGCCCCAGTCCCCAGTCCCCAGTCCCCAGCTGATCAGGCCAAGGCGACCTCAACAAATGGAACCACACACGCATACTAACGATGTGACACGGCATTTTAACGGCCAACACACAGCGCTGCACAGATTAGGAATGTCAATATTAGCCACGACGACGACCGCAGAGCAGGCCTGGGTGGGGGGGCCGAGTGGGGTGAAAGGTGGACTCGATGTGTGTGTGTGTGTGTGTGTCTATCTAGTAAAAGGTTGGGGCACCCTCGCCCCGCCCCCGCACACCGCCAAATTTTGACAAATGACGTCAGACACGGGGCGTTGAGCTAGTGAAACCAAGCTGAAGTGGGCGTGGCCATTGGACATGTTACAAGAAACGGAGCCATCCAATGCCCAATGCCCCAATGTGGTCAACCATCCAAAACTAACTGCGCGCAATTGCCTTGCAGCCTGATTAGGAAAAGGTGTTGCTTACAGCAGGATAATGGACTGCCAGGACGGCTGCAGGATACGAAATGCTCAACTTTTGCTAAATGCTAGCAATCTACAAGGCAAATTAATCAGCAGAGCGAGAGTGAGAGGGAGAGAGAGGGAGAGACAAGCTGAAGCTCGTGTGAGCTCTGCCAAAGTTGTCGAAGTTGTGCGGAAGCGCTTAGAATTTGAGTTATAGTTCTATAGGGAGAAATTAGAGCGAAAATTAGTTAAGTTATGGCAAATCGATTGAGAAAATCTGTTTGCGATGGCCGGAGAAGCTGTGGACTTGGTTTAGTTGAAGCTAATGCAAGGATTATATACGTTGCCATATGAAGCGAAAGCCAAGGCATTGGGTTAAGATAAAGCGTAAAGGGAGAGAGAGAGATAGAGAGAGAGAGAGAGAGAGAGTGAGAGAGATAGAAGGAGATAGAGAGAGAGAGAGAGAGAGATAGAGGGATAAAGAGAGATAGATAGAGTAGCGAGAGAGAGAGAGATATATAGAGGTATAAAGGGAGATATCGAGACTGAAAGAATCAAAGATTTAAAAGTTCTAACTACTGAAACTTTGCTTAGGCTTCACAGACGTAAATTCTCTATCGAAATATTCCCTTAGCCTCTACAAACTTAGTTTCCTTGCTTAAATATTCCTTTAGCCTCCCCAGACCCAGTTTCCCTGCTGAGTTTTTCATTTAGGTCTGACTTCTATAACCAATTTAGGACTCTTCAAGCTCAACCCAGCTAGCATATTAAATGATATGCATATGCGCTTAAATAACAACACGAGTGAGTGTCAGACAACATGGGAGATGCTCTGCCCCCTTGAAGTGCTCTACCCGCATTTCACTAACCAGCTCTATAACATGGGTTTAACGGCATACATTTAAGTAACTGCGTAACTGCGTCTGCAATACTTTTGACTTGAATATGTATGCAGAGTTCACTATGATTTGCAACCCCTTAAGCTGCTTTTAATGGCCTGCCAGGTGAGGGTTGTCGGTGGGTCGGTGGGTCGCTGTGGAAATGCCCATCAGCGCTGACAATCAAGCCGGCATTGCCTTCATCTCCGATGTTGGGGGCGCAGTGTTGTAAAAGGGCAAAATCAATTTAACACTTTCAACTAAATTATTCATTTTGCATAATAATTTTCAAATCTGTCAAAATTCACACAAACACACTGACACACACACACACACGCACACACACGCACGCACACTTATACATTGAAAGCAGGCTTTTATTTGATACATTCAGCGGTTGTCGGCGTCTGCACTTTCACACGCTTAGGATCGCGATAGGGATGTTGACTGGTGGGAGCTGAGAGGAGGACGACGGACGGCGAACGGCGGGCGGGGGCACAGAGGCTGCTGGAGCAACGAGGGGTGCCGCCTGCAAAAAGCACTCAAATAATTCCCAGGCGTAAGCTAAACCAGCGCAAAAGTTGCCACGCTGCGCACAACAATAGCAGCAGCGCAGCGCAAGGGAGGCAGAGGGGCGGTGGGGCTGGTGGCAATGTGGAACTGAGACTAAAAAGTAAAACCCTTTAACCGAGCGTAGGCAACGGCGCCACGCGAAGCGTCACAAATTCTGTTAAGCGAAAATTTCATCAACGGCACGAGAGAAATTTTCATTTGCCATTCGCCATTCGCCATTCGCCATTGAAACGCTCCGCCCGCCCGTTCCGCCCGTCCGGTTCCGTCCGTGCGGCCGTGCGTCCTTTTGCGTTGTCAAAATGAAAGGAAAATGTCTCATAAATCCTTTTAATATTAAATGAGCTCGTTCTACTCCACCTCCGACGGCGGCGCTCGTTCGAAAAGCCGCGCCACGCACACACTTAAAATTAT